AATTCTGGTCTATATACAGGGTGTTACCATAACCGACAATACCGTATAAGGTCGGGCGGTGTACTGTGATGCATGTTTCTGTGCAGGCGTTTCCTACATATTAACACTTTGCTATTGTGACTCATAACTCATTGTGTGGCCCCACTTGGTCGTACAGTACGCACAAGTCATGTCTGTACCAACTTTGAGTTTGCTTTCACTTGAATTTGGTGATGATCACCTGAATTCGGTTCACGATTGTTTTTCATTCGTGTTATGTTGTATTGCGTAGTATTTCTATTAGACAGTTTATTCTACGACGACTTATTTAATAAGCTTTAAAACAGGTTTTAAAAATACATGAATATTTTTTAAAATTTGTTGATTGAGGGCCTCATCTAAAAACTTCATGTTAAGATTTACAATAAACAGTTTGTAATGGTAAAAATGTATTAAAATCATGGGGCTTAAAGACTAAACATTGTTGAATATTTCACTTACATGCAGTCGTTTATCATAAGTCTCCACCAGGCAAGGGTGACCGAACCCCATCGAAATACGCTACGAGGGTGCAAATATTGAACCAACTCACCCTTTATTAATTCTTTTAATTTTATTGATTCTCTATACACAATATAACTACAAGAGTCAATTTAAACACAGACTTTCTTTGTAAAGTAAATCATGTTCTTTTAATTTTTCATTTAACGACTGTTCTTCGCAAAAATCGATCTGTCATTTTGTGTAAAATGTAGCATTCTCTACCTCGTATGTATAATGTTATTCGGCGTATCTTCATAGACAGTTTTGTGAAGTGTAAAAACATTTTAAATATAACATTGAATCGGTTTACCAGAACTAATCAGAATTGGCGATTTGACGCTCGCTCTGATTCGATACGATATCGATATTGCGAATTCGTTTTTATACTTTCATCTGAAACACTTTTTATACTACTTAAATTTACTAAATTTATTTTAACTTTATGTTATTACACTACCACATTCTTATTCCGTGGACATAAAACACGTATTTGTTGAGACATAAATTTGCCATGCTAAAATGATAGTAAGGACGCAAGGTCACGGTCGTAAGCGTTTAGGTAATATTTTTATACGCACACCTTAAAATATCTTAATTACGTAATACTGACGGATCCATTTAACGAGCGTTTGAACTTTGAAAAACACTAGATCTTGTGACGCGGGCGACAGCTAGTTTATATTACGTCCTACGGTCTTATGGTACCCCGTTTACAAAAGGATAGGGAGATGTTCAATGTTTTTCTATGAAAGTCAAGATATCTTCATACAAAAAAACTCTGACGGGTGAATGATAAAATTTTACCCAGTTGAAAATGTCGCGTGTGGTCAACATGCAACTTGTATATTGCACCCAACCACGTGGTAAGAATGCCTTACCCGTATTAACCCCATACGGGGAAATACCTGCAATTACTTCCCCAGTGCTGACATCCATTAAATCCTTAATAGCTTTTTTAACTAAGAGGCTCTAATATCAAGGAAAACCTATATTATTAGTAAATTGCAAACAAATGGTAATAAAATTACGTATTCCGCACTGGTTTATCATTGAAGTCCAATGTCACATGCATTGTATGCTGCTTGCATCTTAACTCTGATATAATCGCCAGTTTCGTAATGACTCGCATTAACACAAAGTTTTGGACAAATAACTGATAACAGTATGACTTTAAATATTCAAGGCGCCATCCTTATTAGAACACGCTGTATTTTAAAAATCACGTAAATACTAATTTCAACTTTAAAGATAATAGAAATAAGAGTTAATTTCGTTTGACTGTATTCAGTACTTGATGTTTGTTATTTGGAAATATCGCCAAGTATGGCTTTATCAATACTAATCTCTGCAGTGATAAAATGTGGGCAGGCATCAATGATAATACTAGAACCAAATAGGTAAATATATTTCCAATTTATTTAAATTATGCGCATTTTAATAAATAAAAAGTGGCGCTAGTAGCGCGTAATCAAAATACAAGACAGAAATCTCAGTAATGTTGAATTTAATATTTTTTGAATGACGATAATTTTTTGTACTACCATTTCGAATTTATTTTCTTCATCTATAATAAGTTTCCTTCAGTCTTACGTCTATGTTCTTGAAGTCGGCAAATTAACAGCATTTTAACGATATTACGCGATCAGTACTACTTTAATTTACTTTAATTACTATAAGAAAGATATCGTATGATATTACAAGCATTTTTTTATAAAATTAGGAGGGTTATCTTCACAATTTAGTAGAAAAAGATGGATTACAGTCTCTAAAAATATATGGGCCACCTCTTTTATATAGTCTGTTAAAAACTACATGAGTGGCAAAAACCAAATGTATTCAAATTAACACTATGTTTTATTATTTATCAGAAATGACCATTGAAGGATCGTATATCATTGCATTTCCTTATCTACAGTAGTCAATACCTGGGCTATCTTTTGATAAGGATTTACAAGGAAATATCGAGGATATTGAAATTAATAGTATTGTATAAGAATTGATTAATTATATTCTCTAATTTAAGGTAGAATTTCAGTGCCTCCGATTCCTATTCTTTATTGTGTTCCAAGCATGTCGCAAATTGTGACAATGACTAAGGCTCACTCAGGTTTATAGTAAATTTAATCATCTCATTAATAATTTATTGTATTAGATCCGTGTTGACTTAGTGTTGATTAAGCTTAGGTACCTGAGTCGAAGGCTTAAGGAAACATTCCTAATTGTACAATAGGTTTTATATTTAAACAGTGGCCAATGAGGCGTATCTGTTTGTCGGTATGTTTGTCCGTCGTCGTGTTACGCCGCGTGTCCTCGCTTGAGTTTGTATTGTATATTAGCGAATCGTGCCTTACGCTATTATTAAACAAACATTAACTATGGAATATTCATTTGATCTGTGTTACTAAAATTCTTTGTTAAGATAATATTCATTTTATAAGATTTTATGTAACACTCTTTGTAAATGGAATGGTTTTATTTTGAACTGCTCTTTCTAATTTACTACTCTTGATATCATTTGCGTAATTTTAACATAAAATAAAATGGAAAGTTCAAAAAATATAATTAATACAGTAGCTAACTGCATAATTAAGAAGGCCAAATTAATTACATTTCATTTAAATGTTCATAAAACGTTAAAGTATCACCTTGGTTGCTAATTACCTCGGTAAAATTAAACGATCTTTTAAACTTACAAATTTAACTTGAATTATAAATATGGACCGCATTACACGACACATCTTGGTCTTAGTTTACTGGTGTCATAATCTCATTCTGACGTTACCTACCTAATAGACACTATTTAAATCGCTTGCAAAAACATGTCACAGCAGCAAAAACTTTTACTTCCCACAACAAAAACCTACAAGGTTAAGATAATTGCTACAAGTCATTTAACGTTTTAATATACGCATGAATCGCAATTTAAAGAAGTTGCAGCTATTATTATTGTATTTTTAAACAGTAATTAAGTATTTATTTTTAAGAATTCAAAAATACTGTAAATATTATAGGCTTTTTGTTTGAAATAAGAATGAAAGAATCTTACGTCAATCAACATCCAAAATAACCATCTCCTAAATTAGATTTAACTCATTAACTTAACGCAATCAAATATCTGAAACAATTAAAAAGACACAAAATTAATATACTTTGATATAATACTTCACGACTTTTTATAACCGCGATATAGATAACAAGAGCAATAAGAGAGAATATCCGAGATTGATTACAAGAGCCCAGTCATTTTGTATAAAAAGTTAGCATAAAACAATGCGGTGTATACCGGCGCTTGTAATTGAACGGCGCGATCGATAAGCCCACCAAAGCCCGTGACGTAGAGGGAAATCCGTATCGTTAGCCAACACATCAGAAAACGACCGGAGGAAACTTGACAATTTGTGGGTGCATTTATGAATATTTTAACCGATATTAAGCTCTTTTAACACGCAATAATTAACTGCACAGCTATCGTGACGACAGTTATTTTACCTAATCTATTTATTAAACGTCAAAAATGATTTCAGGACTAATTTTTCTAACATTTTTATGATGATTAAACCAGCGCTTGACTACGATGCCACCTGATGATATTGCCATCATCAAAAATCAAATCCAAGTAGACTAGAAATTTGTCTAATTAGCCGTGAATTCCGTAATCATATATAATGTTACTAGAATTTCTGTAATCTAGTCTATTGCATGAGTCACCTTTCATGGTAGAGTGGGCATCTGATAACATTCCTGCTATTGTATCCAGTGCCTAGTTTCGCATCACTATGCCGGACTTTCACTTCACTCATTGTGGCCTCTGTTATCGGATTGAAAGTAAAACTTCGTTTAATACTTTGTTTACATTTCTTTTGTCACTAAACAATTGTAATTGCTATGATTCCTAAGCCTCTACGCAGATTTCATTGCCGGTATTATCCCAAGTACTAACTTGACATTTTTATAAAAACATTTTCGAAAGCGTAGTATAAGCGGGAACATCACATTTGCAGTTCGATTTTTAAACGAACAAATTTCATTATTCTGTTTTAACAAAACTATATTTAGTTTTGTATTCGTCTGGACGAGTTCATAGAAAATGCAAAGAACATCATTTGTATGTAGGGCCGTACCTTTGCTTACTTCGGCATGTCGGGCACGCGCGCCGTCACAGACGCGCGGACGCCTCGTATTGCTCCCAGCTTTACCACGTGCCCATTATTTATTGCTCCTGTTGACAATGCCTTTAGTGAATTTTAATATTCTATTTTAGACTGAGAATTCATTAGTGAAGTCGTTTAAATATTTAATGTATGGTTTACGATATAGGAGACATTCATAGGAAGAGCATACCTAGATGGTAAAACAGGAATAAATTCTAGGAAAAAATACAATACTGACTGACTTTAAAATAGTGCTGAACCTGCAAGACCTTCTAGGGGTGACGTGTATTTGACTGTTATAGAATTTTTTTTTTATTTTTTCAACAGACAGGATCTGGCAAGACGTATACCATGGGCAGCGGGTGGGAGGGCGAAGGGGACGGGGACGAGACCCGGCGCGGCATCATCCCGCGTGCCATCCGGGACCTGTTCGCGGGCGCGGAGCAGAGGGCGGAGGCGGCGCGTGCGCAGGGCGAGCTGCCGCCAGAGTTCTCAGTGCAAGCGCAGTTCATAGAGTTATACAATGAGGATATTGTTGATCTACTCGATCCGGCCAAAGATCCCTTCGCTAAAGTAAGGATACGGGTTTTATTGTTTTACTCAGGGTATTTCGCTCAGGAGGTCTATAAATGTAGCTTTAGTATGAGAAATTTACCTTCTGCTCTGAAAGCTGACGTTAATCATGTAGAAATGAACTATTATGATCTGAAGTATATGTCAACGATTAACCTTTTAATAACGTTTATCTGCAGGGAGCACTCAGGATAACAGAAGACGGTTGTGGTGGTGTGAAGGTGGTAGGAGCATCAATGCGTGCGGTCCGAGGCGTCAGGGATGCACTGGGAGCACTGCACGCGGGCGCGCTTGCTCGAACCACTGCGGCCACAAACATGAACTCCTCGTCATCAAGATCTCATGCCGTATTCACACTGTTACTACGACAACGACGATTGGCCACGGACCAGGATACAGTGGACAAGGAGGCGGAGGCGGACGCGCCGGAGCAGTACGAGACACTCACCGCCAAGTTCCATTTTGTAGATCTGGCCGGTTCCGAACGACTTAAGCGAACAGGTATTCTTTACACTACTTTGTGCTATAATAGATTAAAGTTTAGGGATTTTTTTATTTTGCCCTTTTCTCACTGTATGTTTTCTTAAATTATATTTAAAAAATCCCGTTTCTTAAATATAGATTTCAAAATTAGGTAACAGATTACAAAAATATTTTTTTATCGACTGAGTTTTTTCAAATTTATTCGAAGGGTTTTTAACAGTAAATACCAAGAATCGTAGTAATATATTATTAGCTAACACAGTTCTTTTGATTTGAACTCACTCGACTATTTCTACATCACATATTTGACATGTGATATACCGTTTCCTGGTCACCTTTTCACAGAAACGTTTCTAAGAACATCGTTCTCTATCCTATTTTAGTAGTATCGATATAATAAATTTAAAACCAAAGCATAACAAAGACATTCTATTTCAGTTCTAAAAGAGCTGTAACAAAAAATATTCAAAAATAACCAATGACCTAAGGCGCCAGTTTCGAAAGAATATTTTGTTATTTAAATGCACTCTGTGGGTTGAAAACAATATGGGTAAATATGCATTTGGACAAAAAACGATGTTTTGATTTCATGGCCATAATATTGATTTATTTGTTCGTTTGATACCTAACACATTCAGTAACTACGGAGTTTAATTTCATACCAAAAATCGAAGTGGCATCGAACGTGTTAACTATCCGAAAAATCTATCCTAAAAATGTCTGAAAAATGTGTGTTTGCACCAATTAAGTATATTATTTTGTAAATAATCGGCTAAATCTCTAAGCCTTATATCTGCTTACCCCATTTCACGTGTTTACAGGTGCAACAGGCGAACGAGCTCGGGAAGGCATTTCCATCAACTGCGGGTTACTAGCCCTCGGAAATGTTATATCGGCGCTAGGAGACAAGTCCAGGAAAGTCCTGCACGTGCCCTATAGGGACTCCAAACTTACCAGGCTGTTACAGGATTCTCTTGGCGGTAAGAACTGTTAACTACGTGCAATGCATGACCGTTATTATTGTTAATATCTTCAAAGGCCTAATAGCTAGTTTGAAGCGTCAATAGCCTAATGGTTTAGGGTACAGATTTTCGATCATGGCTCGAATCCCCCCTTTCTAACAAGAAAATTAGTAAATTAACAAAAATCAAATCTTGGATTATATCACGATTTGTATACTAGATAAGACACATAAGTATATATTTTTTTCTTTTAACTAGGCAACAGCAACACAGTAATGATAGCTTGCGTGTCTCCGAGCGATCGAGACTTTATGGAGACGTTAAATACGCTGAAGTACGCGAACCGCGCGCGCAACATCAAGAACCGCTGCGTCGTCAACCAGGACCTCACCTCGCGCACCATACACCAGCTGCGACAGGAGGTCGCCAGGTTGCAGATGGAAATCGCAGAGTATAAACAGGTAAAGAATATAACGCTTACTCTAGGAACTTGTATTATCCTAAAATAGGAATTATTAGCTATCACCGGCGACTCCGTCCGCGCGGACCTAAATAAAATTTAGCAAGTAGTTCTATGTGTTCTTCCAGACGATGTTCTATACCAATGCCAAATTTCAGCGAGATCCGTGCAATCGTACTGAAGATACCTTCTGACATACATTCGCATTTATTACAGTAAGAAGTAAACTTTGGCTTTAGTAAGTTAGTTTACGCGTTAGGGTTGACTTCAGTAAATATAAAAGTGTTGTGTATTTATATATTTGCAACATGATATCGTATCGTGCAGGGTAAGCGTGTAGTATCAGAGAACGGGGAGGAGGGATGGAGCGACGTGGTGCAGGAGAACGCTATCCTCACGAGCGAGGTGGAGTCGCTGCGGCGGCGCGTGAAGGCGATGCAGGGCACCATCGAGCAGCTCTCCGCCAGGAACAGCGAGCTGGTGGCGGAGAAGGCGCTGGGCACCTGGGCGCCGCGCGACGTCAGTCCAGACGCCACCGACTGCTCCCTCACCACGCTCGTACAGGTACACTCCCTTACACATCGTACAAATTAAATAAGTAATTTGAAATCAATGAGAAAATTAAGTTTCTTTTAGAAATGGTAAGAAATGTCGAATAGTATTTCCATTATTTTTGTCATTAGCATCCAAGAGACTCCTCCTCATGTATCACCCTTGCTCTCCATTCATTGATGGCGTACCAAGTAGAACTTATTATTTTTTTTTCATTATTTAATTGTTATTAAGCTATTATTGTCGTGTGTCGTTGGCAGGGTTACGTGACAGAGATAGAGGACCTGCGCGCGCAGCTGATGGAGGCGACCGCGCTGTACGAGGCGAGCCGCAAGCGCGAGGCGCGCACGCGACACGACTCGCAACAAGACCCCAACTCCATACTGGACGACGCCAAGAGGGAACTATACAAGGTCACACATTACATACAACCTAAATATTTAAAAAAAAATTGTATGGTCTTTTAAAAGTATTGTAACCAAAATATGCTTTTGTTCTACAGGAGAAAGAACTATTGGCTCGTAGTATGGGCGAGCTGGAGTTCCAGCGCAAGCTGGCCACGCAGGTGAGCGAGAGCGGGGAGGGGCGGGAGGCGGCAGCCGAAGGCGAGGGCGAGGGGGAGGAAAACGGTCAGCCCATCGGCGAGAGAGAGCGTGCGGAGGGCGAGAGCGCCGGGGACTCCGAGCCCTCCGACCACGACGACGACGACAGATCTGATGATGAAAGGGACGAGGAAATCGAGGCGGAGACCGCTGGTATGTTGCACTTCTGTTTACGCTTACGCTACGAAATCTACACTAAGGGGATTTCTTAAGGACTCTGGGTGCGGCACTTAATGGATGTATGTATAAAATATATAGTAGTATACGACGTGTGTGTGTATAGGTCAACGCATGCTGACGATGCAGCTGGCGGCGCTAAGCGAGGACATCGACACGAAGGCGCGGCTGATCGAGCAGCTGGAGGCGTCGCAGCGGCGGCTGGCGGCGCTGCGGGCGCACTACGAGCACCGCCTCGACACCCTGCACCACCAGATCAAGGCCACCGGCGAGGAGCGCGACAAGGTGCTCGCCACACTCGGTACGTACAACAAAGCCACGCCCCCTTAAATCTGAAACTATTCATCAGTCTACTGTCTTCCTATATTGTGTTCTAAAACGCGATTAGCTTATTGGTAAAGGAAAAATGTTTTGTATATTGTAGCTGCGCAAGCGTCGCCCCCTAGTGAGAAGTTAAAGCGCGTGAAAGAGGAGTACGAGCGGCGCGTGTCGGGCATGGCGCGCGAGCTGCGGCGGCTGCAGGCGGC